TTTTTGCCTTGTAGGAATAGTAAATACAAGCCTGTTTTCAAATATTTTCTAAGCGCAGCAACAATAAGTACAATAATATCAGAAGTCAAAGTACAAGAACAACCATCCTATTAAGCTACAAAGTCCTGGTAATGCAGATGGTTGCTAAGTATTACATATATGAACTCACAATCTTTCTAATATTGTTCATCATGAAGCTAATTTCCATGAAGACAAGCAGTTCTATAAGACTACTACTGAACAAGCTTATGTAGAGCCTAATCTACTCTAAAATCCAGCTCCCTTATGTAAAATCATGGAGAACCATCATATTGTTCTGTGTACTGTGCTTCTGTAATCATGCTGTTGCTTAAACTGCCTGTAGCTTGACAATAAGACAAAGGTTTGTTCCATGAATATCATCACAGTCTTCATCTTGTTTTTATTATATATAATCACCAAAAGGGTAGTATGCTATAAGTCAAAATGTATTACGCCATGGTGCACCCAATGAAATGAAGGATGGTGATGGAGAGGGCAGAGATCATCCGTTAGTATCATGTCCTTTTATGGTGCATCCCACTCTTTCCATCATCATTCATTATTTTGTGGGGTGGTTATGGTGCCAAATGAACTATTGGTTCCATGTTCCATTGAAACCACAATTCACTAGACCATAGCATATATTCCCATCAGCAAAATGAGTTGGTTTTCCCAACAAGAGAAGTTATCACATGCGTACCTGATAGATATCAGCTGCATGCTTGCATGGCTGGTGCATGGGTGAAGTGTGGTGCACCATGGTGTATGCGTGGTTCACACTTTGGTTTTGGTGGCATAACTGTTTCAAAGGCCTCGATGAGTAGGGAAACCCTTCGGGGTCTGACAGGAGCCAGTCTTGTGACTGCCTGTCTTAGTGCGTAGTCCAACATCCACTCCTCAGCATCTTTTCTTTCATCCATTTCCTGATGCCTGAGATCTACTTTCTCAGCTTCTGGGTCGGGCTCAATTAGGAGGTCAGCTCGTCTTCTTGGGTTGAATTTTCTTTCTTCATCCCAAGTGTCCGTGTTGTCCTGCTTTTTTCCCAAGATATTGGTTTTTTCCTTCTGATGATTAAGTTCACCAGCAAAGATGCGTGTCTTAGTGGTTGTGGCATTTTCTTCATCTTCTGCTTCACGGTGTGCATTTGCTTCAAAGTAATCGGGCTGTGTTTCATCTTCTTCTCTTTGCTTCTTTGCATCTCTTTCAGGATTCTCTTGGGCAAAAGAAGGGGATTTGCTTCTCTCACTTTTTTTATATTCTTGTAATGAGCTGTACCCATCTTCAGGATTGGTTTCATCTGTTGATGAAGGACTTGGGTGGTTGTGAAACTCTTCATGAACCTCTACTGATTGTTCGGTAGGTGGGGCCCTACTGATATCTTCATTGTTCAAGTCTTGATTGGTTACTGATACATCTATTGACTCCACATCACAACGAACATCTTTGCTTTCATCTCCTGTTGCATTGTACTCATGAGACTCCATATCTAGGTGAGTACGGTCTGGGCCATATTCCTCTGCAAGTGCAACCAGAGATGCTTCACTCTCATACATGGGATTGGAATGTTCAATATGATCTTGTCTGGATTGGCCTGCACCCTTGTCTTCTGGGTTTCCTTGAAGAGAATAACACGGAGGGTGTCCGAACAAGTCATTATCAATTTGCAATTGTTTGCCAGTTGTTATCTCTTCTTCTTCCATATCAAGACATATATCTTCCGTGCTGAAACTTTCAATAACTCCAACCTCACATATTTCTAGTTTGCCACCATTGGCACCTATGGGTTCTTCATCAACCTTGATCTTTCCATGGCCTCTTTCCAAATCTTCAGGTGTCAGCGCTTCTTCTTCATTCATATCTGGACTTATCTCTTCAATGCTGTAACCTTCTGTATCTCCATCCTTATCCATCTCTAACTCATCACCATTGACACCCTTGGGTTCTTCATCCACTTCAATCTTTTCATGACTTTGCAGGTCTTCAAATTCAGCTGGTTGAACCTGAATTCGCTCTTCTGAACCATCCAATGCATCTTTACAATAGTGGCTGCTTGGTAAATCAATTATCTGAGTTGGTCCTGCTATTTTGTAGGCTTTTGGATCATCAGTGCATTTATCGTGCAGGGTTTCGGTGTCAATGAAAGATGGAACAGAGATTTCTGCTGGATCAGTGGGTTCAGAGATGGGATCATCTGATAAATCATAATCTCGGTCTGTTAGACAGTGGACTTCGGTTTGTAGTGGTGCAGCACTGCTGGATTTGGCAAGGTCATCTGGTTCAATTATGGGTTCATCTGAAAATGTGGGCTCTTTTTTCTCTGGTAACAAAGAGAACATCGCTGTATCAGCTCCATTGTGACTGTAAGTTAAGCTATCAGTTCCATGATCAAGTTCTTCATTGCTTTGCTTCTCCCAATCCATGGTAGACACTTGAGACACAAATTCCTCCAGCAGGTAATCATACATGTTCTCGGCATACCCCTCAGGGATGGATTCATCATTTGTCTCTGAAACTTGTTCACTATATTCCCCTGGATCAATTTCTTCCCAACCTTTGGAACTTATCTCTGCCCAATCGAGTGGATAATTGGGCATTCCATCAAAATCATGATCCTTTTCTTCGTCATTGTTCTTGATGTATTCTGTGACAGGTATTGAATCATCTTCAATAAAATAAAGATCACCATTTTGATGTAGACTGTCATCCAAGCTCGTCTCAGAATAAAGTTCCTCAATTTGGATTTCTTCCAAGCCTTTCTCAGAGTAAGACTCCTCAATTTGGGTTTCATTCTCTCTTTTGGTTTCTGTTTCCAAGCTTGTGTTGGGTCTGCCTAACTCATTTTCAGTAACAAGGGCTGATTCTTTACTGAAATTGTGACTTTCTTCATTTGTGGTGCTACCATAATTACTGTTGTGGCCTGGTACCGGACTCTCATAGATTTCGACAAAGAAATCATTTACATCTTCCACTGGTCCTTTCAGGAGTTCCTCTAAACCTTGTGGAGGCTCAATAGAGCCAGTCTCATCAAGAAGACCTTCATTAAGGAACCTCTGGCCTGTATCGACTCCTTTCTTACCCTTCTGTCCAAAGTACTTTGGCCTATTTGAAGATGATGGCCTCTTTGATTTTAAGCTCTTTTGTGTCCTAAGCAAACGCCTCCTAGCCGATAGAAACTGCTTTAATGGAGGCAGAGGGTCATGGTGGTGACCATTTAGAGAGCAGTAAGTATAGGGGCAGACCTTAAAAACTGAGGTCCCTTCCGATTCGGTGCCCCCGGGATGAAGAGCAACATAGGTTGGGAACTTGGAATCCTTCAAAGTTGAAGAGCAGGTAGACCTATTGATATTTGGCTTAGGGTAAAGCGGAACACCAGATGTCTTCATGGAAGGCCTCATGGGTTTCAAACTTGAGGTTCTCTTCAATGGTCTAGTGGGTTTCAATTTTGAGCTTGAAGGATCTGACCCATGCTTGCTAATTTTCTTAGGAGAGTTATTTGAAGAAATTGGTTTCGTCTGATTATGGTTTTTTTCTGGAGTTTGGGATTGTTGCCATACCTGTGAATTTTCTCTCCTCGCATCAGAGCTGGTTGTCGGCTTCATGTAATTGGGTGACCCATCAGGTCTGCTCTTTGGACTGGGTTTAAAGCTCTGCAAGACCTCGTAGACTTTCAGAGACCTCGTCTTCCTCTTCTTCTTCATAAGATCGTTTCCTCCTCTCATTATTGGTGATGGCCTGGTTATGTTGAGTTCCTTGTCTGTTTTAACAGAGATCTTCACAGTTTGGATGCTTGGGTGGCCTGCCTTTCTGTGCTGAACCATCTTAAAAGGAATCTCAGAATAAACTGTGGAGAGAGCGAGAGACGCAACGCGGTTAGAGGGCAGTGGGATTCCTTTCTGATGGTCAAGAGTTTCAGAGAGAGAGAGAGAGAGACAGAGAGAGAAAAGCAACGTGGTAAGAGGGCGGTGGGATTCCTTTCTGATGGTCAAGAGTTTCAGCTCAGTAAGGAAATGAGTTCTGCCTTGTTAGAGATGGAGAGAGAAAGAAACGAATTACAGATGGATGGACAAAGAAGATGAGTTGAGAGAGAGCAGGAGGCAACAACCAGAGATTCCTGAGTCTGGAATTTGGTGAAAGTAGGTTTGAAAAAAAAAATAATTGGCCACCCTCTTTAGCTGTTGAATTGGACTGCACCAATTTGAATATGGTTTTAAGTTTTTAACTAAGGATATGACAGGGTGATGTTGAAGTCCACTTTGTGGAGGGAACTGGGAATTTTTCTTTATTGTCTTAAAAATTATGATGAGATGGTAATTTTACATGTGGCTTTCTCTGATCAGGTGAGAAAGGGCATGCTAGATATAGTTCTCCTGTCCTTTTTAAGGACTTCACTTTAGAGAACTTCCAAATGCAAGGCGCTTTTTACTTTCTCTTGGATAAATGACTGAAATGCCCTTGATTTCATTGGGGACATGATAAGACGAGAATTGTTTTCTTCCTTAGAGATGAGCTGGAGAATCAAACATGATTTGCTTGAAAATGCCGGGTGATCGAAGTCTTGCTTGAACTTTTTCCTGATTTTTGAATGCCTAGCAGTTGGGCTGCTAATGGGCTTGGAACTGCCTGCATGCTTTCAGGTTGGGTTAGGGCCGCATGTTAATGCTCGCGAGCTGGGCCCGGGATGGGTCTAGTAGGGATGATATGTTTTGGGGCCGAGCTCAAGCTAATGCTAGCCGGGCCAGCTTTTTTCCATTTTGAGTGGGGCATGGGTCTTGTTATCATGAATTAGGGTGGGACCCAGCCCAAGACAGAAACTAAATCTTTGGGCCTAGGCCTATGCTACACTACTTTGGACCGGGCTTGGGTCGGCCTATCCTATACCATTTGGGCCGGGAGCCGAACCCAATCTTTAACAGCTAAATTCATCAATAATGTTAGTGAGTTGGGGAGATAGGCATATACATGCAATTATTCTTCCCTCATTTACTACACCTTCCCCTCAAGAAAAGGAGAGAAAAAGGAACAAAGACACTTGTTTGTGAAGTGAGCCATAATGTCGTAAGTTTTCAGTGACAAATGAGTTTATAATGAGCCGGTAATTAGAGCTCATTATTATGCATGTGTCTGAGGATTAAGGGGTGATTTTCTTTTTCCTTTTTACTGAATTGTGTGAAAGTTCATTGAAGGGAAAAGATTCTTCCATTGAAAACTCTAAACCACAGCACAATGTACTCCACTATGCAAGGATTATTTGGTAAATTTTTTTCGAGCCAGGTAAAGATACCAAATAGAAAACTTGGTAACTTTTGAAATTATAAATTTTGCCTCACATATGGGCACCCTTTTAGATAGATGGCTTGGACTTTACAATTATTATGATTCTCTTATTCATTTTTGTTGTCATGCGTAGGGTTCCAACTCACATATTCGTGTTCATGATTAAGAGCTCTGAGTTATTTGCAAGATGACTGAGTCTCATTTTAGCCTTAGGTTCATAATTGCAAGAGACCATTTATTTTGGTACAAGATGGTCACAAGTAATCTTGACCATTAGATGGTTGTATTTATTCCGGCAACCAAGCGCAAAGTTCAGAACATATTTTCTCAAACTTTGTGATACATCTGAGTTATCAGATTTTACATCAGCGGGTTATAAGTAACTGTGACCTCCTCGTACTAAAAATAAATGGGCTTATTGTATATAATCCCTTAGATGTAAGTGGTGAGAGAAGTATATAAAGGAAGCCTGTAGTTCTATTAGCATATGTATATCTATATTGATATACATCATTATGAATTCATATCAATACAAATATGTATTTGTATGGGTATATATATCTTTTAATTAGGTGTCTCTTGATTACGATAAGATTCGTTAATAATTATCCATAACCGTTGGTATTTATTTTTAGTATTTATCTTTAATTGTTATTAACCATATATTTATACGGAGTCTTGTATATTCTTTATTAATAAAATAAAAAGAGAGTTCTCTGCAGTATCTTGAGTTTCTAACATTCATGGCATTGGAGTATTTTGTAGGCGATCTCGTGATGGTAATTTTGAACTTGAGATGTAGGATTACAATCGTCAACACCTTATTTATTAACTAATCCCCAGCCCCAGCCCAAAGATTTTTCTTAAAAAAATATATAGATATATATTTTTTCTACTTAAGTTGTTTAGCGGTAGGAATCGAACTTGAGATAAAGCCAAATTAAAAGTAGTATAATAAATTTGTTTTAAAAAGGGGTTATTGAGGTAATTTTTGTCCTCATCCTTGATGCAAAGAAAGCCATGTGGGCCCATGAGCTAACCGGCGACCGACCAGTTTGAGTGGAAAACGATTGGTATCACTTTCTATTTATTTGTATATATATGTAGAGTGTATGGATGGGGAGAGAAAATGCATCGTCGGCGCATGCCCACTCCCTTTGGCCCCTCTTTGCCTTTTTATTGATTTTTTTAATTTCTTCTTTCTACTTTTGCTTTTAGTTTCCCTCTTTATACGCTTTTTAAGAAAGATTTCGTTCAAAGTATTCTTTTATCCTCATATTTTTGTTTGGGAAATTATCAATGATATCTTTTTATTTCTAAAAAATTTAAAAAATACTAAAAAAATTTAAAAACTACATCCATACCTAATAAATATTTTTAACCTAAAATGCTCTTCAAGGTCAAAGGCCCCCGATGCAAGTTTCTTTGGGCTCATGGGCCTATTTGGGCCGTGATGGTAAAGCCATGATGCACTATCACAACCCTAATAGGCTGTGAAGCCCGGGGCATCTCACAAGGTAGCTTGGATGCTTTGGATCCACCCAAGCCATCCAAAGGGAGGGGGTGTTGGGCATCATGGCTTTATTAGTGCATCATGGTTCTATTAAGATTGTGATATACAAGAAAAAAGCATTTTGGACCAAAAAAAAGAATTGTTGGGTATGAATGTAGTTTTTAATTTTTTTTTAATTTTTAAAAATTATAAGGATACTTTTGACAATCTCCTGCTGGGCTTCTTTATTTTTATATCCATATTTTCGAAATCTCATGCACCCTCCATGAAAGTCTATCTTCTCCCTCCATGAAAATCTATCTTCTTTATCGATTGAAGACTCAAAACCTATCTTCAATACCTGTAAATTCATTTCTACACCAAAAGCTTGATTTGGAGCTTCTAAAATTGTGCAAGTTTGATCAATCTATTGACATGGGCCATTCGTATGAGATTTTGAGATAACACTTAAGATGGAGCAGTTTTCGAGTTCTAAATACAACTGTTATTTTCTTTCGTTTTTTTGGAGGTCAAGAGGAAGGATCTACAGATTTTTGAGTCCTCAAATCTATTTTTATGGATATTCAAGGGGGCCGCATGGTGATTTTGTGCGGCGAGGGCCACGCTAAAACAGGAATATCTACAGAATACATGATTGACCGTTATAAACATTTGGAATGGACGATGTTCATTTTAGCAAGGGAAAATTACTTATTTTACTGTAATTATAATAGTAGGCCAAAAAATATTCGGTATTTATGGGGAAGGACTAACCCCCTCGTATTTTTTTATTTTTTCCTACTTTGCCCCCCGTTATTAATTCCCATTTCTGTTATCTTTTGATAATCATAAGGCCATCCAATGACAAAAAAATGGAACGAGACGATTTCTACCGCAGTCGAGTGTTTGAAATATTATTAGACCACTTATATTAGGGCGTGTTTTTTTTTTCCTCTCTCTTCAGTCCTCTTTCTTTTGTGCATCGGTGCTTAAGCCCTAACACAAGCAGTCCGACGTTTCAAACATCAGACCATTGTCTGTTCACATATGTTTATAACAATATAGATGTTTGAAACATTAGACCACCCTACAAACATCGGATCATTGTGTTAGGTGACCGCTGTCTATTCACATTTGTTTATAACAATATGAGATTCGATGTTTGAAACATTGGACCACCCTACAAAGATCGGATGGTTGTGTTAGGTGTACCTTTAAAATTGCAATGCGGTCTAATGTTTCAAATATTGAACCGCCTTACAAATAGTTCCGTTCCAATTTTTTGAAAATAGATGGCCTTAAGAATATACAAAAAGAATAAAAATAAAAATTAACATGTGAAACATCGGACTGGGAGCAAAGTTGAAAAAATAAAAAAATATGAGGGGTTAGTCCTTTAATGTAAAGACTACATTTTTTTGAGCCTTTTTTGTTATAACAGTAAAATAAAACAGTACCGACCTAATTTTCCCTTTTAACAATGAGTCGTTTCTCCATAAATATCAGAACACTGTCTTGTTACGGACGTTTCTTATTTAACCAAGAAGCTAGATTGTCCTTGATTCTATTATGGATAAGTTGGGTTCAAAATACAAACCTAGGATGAGATTTTAGTTCAGAGTGAGTACCTTACAATTGTGGTTTGGGCTCCAACCCATCCTAGTCGACCTTATCAAATTTGAGCATGGGTTCAAAGCAATAAGAGACCAGACCATCTATTATTGCATGACCCAAGTGTTTGTTTTTTCCTTAACTTTTTGGCCTGTCCAGCCTTGGCACTAGCTAGGCCCTTGTCCCAATATGGCCGGTCCAAACCTGGCCCTGATCCTAGTAGGGTTGGGGCGGGGCTGGCCAAAAACAAATAGGTGAAAGTAAAGACAAAACAAAGAAAAAAAAGGGCCGAATTGGGCCAACACTAGCTATGGCCCGCCCTCAGACAATAGATTGTGGCCTAGGCCCCAATGTTTAAGGGCCAGCTCTATTTGCATGACCCAAGTACTTGATACGCTGAGCTTTCATATGGGCCTATTTTGTCACATGCTGCTCATCATAAACCATAGTTATTGGGAGCGAGAGCGGGAATAGCTCTTGTTCCGGGAGCGAGAGCATCCAAACGACCTCTGCCCAAAGCTCTGGAGCTCGAGGAGCGAGTTCCAAAAGTAGTAGAATGAGATCCCGCATGAATAGGCAGTGCGTTCTCAATATATTGAGATCGAGATCTCTATTTAATGGGAACGTTTTTCATGTCAAATGGGATCGTCTTCCCATATTCATTAGGATCGTACTCTCATCGACAACAGGATCGCGTCCCTATTTAAGAATAACTGTGTTACTATTTGGAAAGGATCGAGCTGCATTCAAGGAAGGATTTTGCTCTGTGCATGATTAGTCCACACTCCCATGGCAGAACTCCACTTTTATAAAAATTTTGGCTTAAAATATAA